CTTCCTCTCTTCCCCTATCCAAGCCCTATCCAGAAAATCCTCCAGAATGGCTCCAGAACCTTACACTCCCCGATGGGCAGGACCTTGGTTTCTCAGAATGCTAGAGTACCAATCTGAGAGGAAGCCAGAGCTGGAAGGGGCTGCCAAGACCAACTTCCATTTTACTGAAGGGGACAACCAGGTACAGTGTCCCACAGCCCCATGGTGACTTGAGATCTCTACTTCTTTCTCCAGAAAGTGTGTGTGTGTATGTGTGTGTCTCCCCACCCCGCCCCATAGCACTGGGTTGGGCACACAGCTGCTGAGAGCAGCCCTGGGGAGCAGAAGAAGGGCTCTGAGGGGGCAGTTGCTCCTTTCCTTCTTTGCTTTCAGCTCATGGGGGTTGCCAGAGTCATGGTGCTGACGGAGGTGGGGGTGTGCATCCAGGTATTTAAACCCTTAGTCTCTTGGGGCCTTAGAACATTACTGCGTGAGAATCAGGAGCCTGGGTCTACGGAGGCTCAGAACAAGGGCCAGAGAGAGTGTCGATGACCCCAAAGAGGTGAGTGAATGAATGAGTGCATGAAGGCGGAGATCAGGGTGTTGCTTGTCTAAGCCAAGGAATGTCAGAGTGCCAGCAGACCATCTGAAGCTAGGAGAGAGAACAGATTTCTGCCTCGTAGCCCTACAAGGAACCAACACTGCTGACACCTTGATCTTGGACTTCTGGCCTCCAGAACTGTGAGACAAAACATTTCTGTTGTTTAAGCCACCTAGTTTGTGGTACTTTGTCACAGAAGACCTGAGCGAACCAATACTGATTTTGGTGAATGAGTGGATGTTTTCCACCGCTCTGGCCTGGCCTACACGGCTAGCCTGTGGTCACTTCTCAAGCTTCCTGGACCCTTGGCCAGAGCCTATAAGAAATCGCCTCCTCAGACACATCTGGAACAACCTGACTCAGGGCAGCATAGATACATTCTCAGAAAGGGGCCGTGGATATGGACTGTCTCGTGGTGGGGTACCTGGAGGGCCAGGTTGGGCAGCCGGCTTCCTGCACTGTCTGTTGGGGCATCCTTTTCTGACTATTTCTTAGAAGCCACATGGAGGATGTTTCTGGGACATAGTTTGTGTTTTCGTATCGGGGTCTGCATCTGGGCCCTGTTGTCACAGCCCCCGACTTCCCCAGATATTTCCGCCATTGACGTCATGGCGGCCGGATGCGCTGGGCTTCATCGGCACCAAGGAGGAAGAGAAGGGGGCAGGTACCCTACCCCACGGGTTTCGTTCTGAGAATTGGCCGTCCCGTCCTGCAGCCGGCCAGGCCCAGGTGGGGTGATGTGGGTGCTGGCGGATGTGGTGAGTGACGTCCGTCTGGCCACCATGACAAGCCCTGGGCCCTATAGACCCGGCCCTTTTTGGGCCATGGAGAGGCCCAAGGTTTGATGCTTGGGGAGTGCCATGCAGACCCCACAGAGACTGGGAGCCTCAGGGTCTTCAAGTGGTACTATGCTAGAACCTCAGAATCGTAGAACATCATTTCTTAGATTCAAATGATCCCAGAATCTCAAACCCACAGACTCTGTGGGGTCCATGGGTCCAACTTCTCAGTAGGTGAAGGCCTATGTCCCTGGTGTCCAAAATCACTGGAACTTCCCGAAGTTCATAGTGCCTCCCGCCTGCCAGGCCTGGAATTGCAGCAAGCCTCCCCTCAGCCTCCCTCCTAAGTTCTGTGAAGGTAGGAGGGTCAGAATCGTCCCCTCTGCTTCCCCCAGCCTGGGGCCAGGCTCTGACACTAACTAGCTGTAACTCTCCTTGGGCTCATATGTAAAACGGGACAATAACTGTACCCATCTTCCAAAGTTAACGCACATGAAATGCTTAACAAAATGTTGGTGATCAGTAGATGGACCCCTGCAGGGCCTCCATCTCCCTGTCCATTCTGGGACAGTGCTCCCAGACTCACAGCCATTCTGCCAGAGATGGGGAGGGAAGGAAGGGGACATTGAGGCTGGCACACCTTCAGCTAGGACCTCGTGGTGGGAGCAGTCAGAGCCCTGGCCTTTGCCGGTAGAGTCTACCACCGGGATCTCTGGAGGAGCTGTGGGATAGAGGATCCCAGGGACCTGTGCCAACTCTGGGGACACGGCTGAGCTCTGTCCACAGCCAGACCCACAGATATACTGACTGACTTATGTCCCTCTAGTATCACCACCCTCTGGCCATGAGGCCTCCTGACCCATGGGGCCCTGGGACCCCACCCAGCCTAGCTCTTGTGAGGCTAGCCCCACACTGTGACCATGAGGGTCCAACTTGTGAGAGGGTAGAAGGGGGAACGGCAGCAGCTGGGAGACAGCCCAGGGTCCCCCTGCCCCTGTCATGGGTGCTGAGGGGTAAACTGAGGCCCATTGTTGGGGAGAGACACAGAGCCAGGGCCCCACTGAGAGTCCTGAGATCTGAGCTTGGGTCTCAACTCTACCACTGCATCTCTGTGAGGCCTTCAGAGAGGCCCTCCTGCCCATCTCCCAGCCTCAATTTGCCCCTCTGTACTCTGGGAAGGGGAGAGGTGTGGAGCAGATGAGGGCCGGCGGCCTTGTGCTCTGTGTCTGAGTGAGCTGTTAGGTGTCTGTAGGGCTTTGATTCGATAACTGCCGTTCTACCCAGGGGACTGGCTGAGAGACAGAAACAGAGATAGACAAACAGACATAGGCAAACAGAGAGACACAGAGAAGAAGAGCTACAGAGAGAGATGGGAGAGACATAAGGTGGGACAGAGATAGAAACACAGAGAGAGGAACAAAGAGAAAAAGAGAGATAGTGAGAGACACTGAGAGAAGGAGAGACAGTGAGGAGGGGGAAGGAGCCCATAGGAGCAGAAAGTCAAAGAGAGAACAAGAGAGACAGAAACAACACAGGGAGATGGGGAGAGACAAAGAGACAGAGAGAGAGAGAGAGAGAGAGAGAGAGAGGAGAGAGAGAGAGAGAGAAAGGAGAGAGAGAGAGAGATGCTCCAAATAAGAACAGTTGTTGGTCTCTGGCTGGAGGAGCTGATCCTTCGTTATTCCAAAATAATGAGGAATAACAAAGGGCAAGATGCCAGGGCCTTTGGCCGGGTGCTATATTGTATTGCAGAGCAACAATCAGCAAAGTGCTATGGCCCTGGCACCAGAACAGACACCAAGAAACAGAACAGAATGGAAAAGCTCAAATACAGACCAATGTCTAGAGGGAACGGAGTTTGTGATGAACACGGCATTTCAAACCAGGGGACGCTGGAGAATAGATTGTTTAACAAATGGTTCTGGGACAATTAAGGGGAAAATAAAGCTAATGACTAACCAGTCCAGTTTTCCACCAACCCCTTCCTGCCCAGTTTGAAATGTCACCCTCATCATGTACCCTAAAATAAATTCCAGATCCATTAAAGAGATAAATAATAATCTTATATGGATCTTGGGTTTATTGTATGCCAGGCCCTAGGCTAAGCATCTAACAAGGTTGAGAGATTTAATTCTTACAACCACCCTTTGAGGTCAGTACTATTATAACCATCACAGTACCTATGAGGAAATGGAGGTATCGAGAAGTTAAATGCCTGGCTAAAAATTACACGAATTGCTTGAGCTGAGGCTGGGTTTGTCCCAGACAGTCTGGCTCCAGTACCCACACTCTTAACCTCTACAGTAAGTGGAAAAAATGAAGCCATAAAAGAGAATAAAAGCCAACACAGGTGAACATTTATCTCATTTTCAAGTGGGAAAGGACTTTCTAAGCACAAAACCAGAGACAGTAACCACAGAAGAAAAGACTAACCTTGTTGACAATATAAAAACATCATAAGCATCACAAAACAGCATGAACAAATAGCAAAACAACTTCAGTAAATGATGAATTGAGAGAAAATATTTGCTATATATGTATGGCTGATGGAAGGCTAATATCCTTTTATATAAAGAGCTGTGACAAATCAATAAATAAAAATGATGAACACCCTATTAGGACTAAGGACTTGACCAGACAAATGAAAAAAAAAAAAAAAAGCACATATGGTCAACAAACAGTATAAGTTATTGAAAGATGCAAATTTCAACAACATGGTAATATTTTTCTTACCTGTTATGTTGAGAAAGGATTAAAAAATGATAATACCCACCCACGGTTAGCTTGAGTAGAGGGAACATAAAACAGGACAACCTTTTGGAAGAACAATTTGCAGAGAGGGTCAGAAACCTTAAAAATGCACAAACGCTTTGCCCTAGCCACTCGATTTGTAGGAATCCGAGGAACTAATCCAGGATGATTATGCGAAAAAACTGTAAACAACCCGAATGTCCAAAAATCAGCACTTGGTCGAACCAGTCGTGGTTCATACCAATGTGAGGACAGTCCGAACAATTATGAAAGATCATACGTTGAAACATTTTTCAGTGACCTACCAAAATGCTCCTATTCATTGAATAAAGCAGAAACAAAAGCAATAGATAGATAGATAGCATGATTCTAATTTGGTTAAAAAATAATAACAGTTAACACTCAGTGAGCACTTGCTAAGCCTGCAGAGAGGAGGTCACCCCAGACCTGAATGGCCTGCTCTGTTCCTGGACATGGATCCTGGCCCTCCCCCCACAACACCAGGTCCTGAGGGTAGAACCTCACAGCTAAACCATGGTTGACAATTGCGTGAAGTGCCCCCCTGGAGGGTCTCCTCATGCGGTGCAAGCGCAAGTTCAGGTTAAGTGCTCAGCCCAACCCGACAGCCCACAATCCTCTTTTGATCAGGGCAAACAGAATTGATGCTCATTCTTGTAAAATGTAAATGTCCTCCTCGACATTACTCAACACACTGTTATTAAGTGCCAACTGTACAAAGCTCTGTGCTGGGGGCTGGGGGTAGTGGGGGAGAGGCAGGCAGGGGGAAGGCAAGACGAGTGAGCAGGAAAGGCGGTGGGAGAGACGGAGGAAAGGAGATAAATGGAGTGTGGTCAAGATGGAGGAGACAGCGACAGGAGAGATGGTCAGAGCCAGAGAAAGACAGAGGGGTGGAGAGTCTGCGTGCCAGGGAAACAGAGAAAGAGAGGGGCAGAGAATCACGAAAAGAGTGAGACAGAGAGGGACGGGAGATATCGAGAGAGAAGAGCCAAAGGTATGCCAGAGACGTCGCTGAAATTTCCAGTTACACCTGGACAGTGTTTCAAGTTGTTCAAAGCTCTGAGATTCATAAAGACTGGCAGTTGATATATTTAAAAAATCCTACCCATCCACACATCGATCCATTTATTTATCTTTGCCTCTGCCTCAGCACTGATTAAGTACTTGATCTATCAGTCTTCTGGCGTTTGTTATTACTATTATTACTGTAAAAAATACCTTACCTGACCAGGACCACAGGAGCTGCTGCGTGTGTCTTGCTGGTCCCAGAGGGCCCCTGACTACCCTCCAACCCAGTGCCTACCTCACTGTCGTCTCTTCCGCTGGACCCGCATCTGGTGGGGGAGAGCGGGGACACTCACCTTGGTGAAGTGGACTGACAGAAAAGGATCAGCCTGGCTTGTGGGAAACTGTCACATATCAAAAACAACTTTGCTTTTATACCGAGAAGAAAAACCACGGTGTGGAAGCCACAGACCTCTCTCTTCTAATAATCCAATTTTTTTTTTCGATGAGTGTGTACGCTGATAATCACGGGGTGGGGGGGGTTCTCATAGTTTTTTCTCTCTCGCTCTCTCTCTCACTCGCTCGCTCTGTTTCTCCTCTTCTTGATTATGAGACTTAAACGGAAATTTTGAAATTTTGGGTTTTTTCTTTGCCCTTTACGAGTCATCTGAAAATATGATTTCTTCCCCTCACTACAGAGGTGAGAGGTATCAATGAGATAACAGGGCTCATGAGAAACCACAGTTTTTAAAACAAAAGTGTGTAGAGTTAGAAAAAAAGGGAAAAGAACTCAAATCACAGGGACATCCCAGGCAGGGAGAGATGACACTCTGTGAGTGAGGGGATATTTGAGGGTCTCTGGGGAAAGGAAGAAAGGAACTGAGATGCTACATGTGAATGGGAAACACCAGGGAAAGAAATGGAATAGGGCTGCGTTTCCAGAGGCCTTGTGCTGGACCAGGCCTCAGTTTCCCCTTAAGTGGAATTGATACGGTCATCACGGTCTTACTGCTCAGGGGTGGGGAGCTCTGGATACTCTTGCAACCCATCTTCTCACAGAGGGTGAGAGGCATGGAAGTTACTTCATGGAGAAAAAAGCAGGGAGTCCCTCCCTACCCCCGACAATTCACAGAATCCAAGAGTCTGAGAATCATTGGCTCCCAGAATCCACTGAACATCACTGAGTGAGGAAAGGGAGAAAAGTCTTGCCTCATTACCTCTTAGGGCCTGAGAGCTCTGACCCAGAGGGGAAGGTCCCAACCAGGCCCCATTATTAATGAATCCATCCTCACAAAGCCTAGAGAGGCTCCTTGGGACCCCAACCTTCTCATGGTCAGGGATACCATGGCCTGATGCTTCTGAGGCCCTCAGCCTTTGCGATTTTCTACTTCGAAAAGTCCCAGTTTCCAAGGGTTTAGGATTCTAAATATCCACCATCATCCCCGTAGCTGACAATTATCTCAGATTTCCCATGTGCCAGATGCAGCGCCGAACACTTCTCACAATTATCGTGTTCAATCCTCACCACAGCCCTTGGATTTCCATCTTGTCATCATGGCCGTTATACAGATGGGGAAAACGGAGGCACGAAGCAGTCGGGCAACTTGCCCAATATCACAGAGCTGGAGGATAGGGGCCCTGCGTTCCACTGGTGCTGGGCTTTGAAACCGCCAGGTTTCCTTGAGCACAACGGTCTCAGGCTTTAAATTCTAGGCTGCAATGATAGGGAGGTTCTGAGATTTGGAGATTCTTCTGGAGGCTTGAAGGTTTCAGGTTGTCCAAGACTTGGTGGCTGTATTTCCTCACCTCCGCAAGCACCCCCTCCAACCAATGGTCAACAGGGGAGACCAGCCCCCAGGGGCTTCTCCTGACAGGCCGTGGCTGAGACTCCCTGCCCTTGGCTCTCCAGTGCCCTGCATGACCCAGAGTTCTGTCATCCAATGTCCACTCCAACCCGTCTGCAAGACTGGCTTCAGGCCTGGGAAAGAGAAATTGGAAACAGATTTTTATTCACATGGTATAAACCTACTGGCCAAAACCCACCCCCCTTTACCCCTTTGCTTCTTTTCGTCCCACCATCTCCCAAATCCTCAAAAGAAGGAGAGCCTCTTTCCTCAACTCAGACTCACCTTTCTGGAAAAGCCCAGAGGGGGGTCTGGTGGCCTGGCTTTGTGAAGACAAGAGAAAAAAAAAAAAAAGGGGAATAGAGAAAAAAAAAAACTAAAAAAAAATCAGCCAACAACAATAAAAAAAAAAAGAACCCAACCCTCCCTACCATTAGTTCAAAACAAAACTTTCACTGGTTGAGGCTTCTGGGTTGGTGGGACATGTCTGAGACCCAAAGACGGCCTGTGTGTGCCGGGCAGGCAGGGGAGGCACCAAGTGGGATGAGGTCTCAGGTTGAAGGCCTGCAGGGACCCTGCATACAGCAGGGGCTTAAAAGATATGGCATGTGGTTGGGAGCAAGAGAGGGGGTGAGGCGCGTGCTCATCAAGAGGGAGTCCAACTTTAGGTATGTCCCTAAGGTTAATTAATGACCCCTTGCTCCCTGTCGACTTGGTTCTGGACATTCCCTACATGTCCCATGTAACTATAAACCAGGTCAGTTCTAGAAGCCGAGGCCCCATTGCCTGCCTCAGGACCTGTTCCCTCCTGAGAGAGGGGGCTGGTTTTCTCTTTCAGGGTCCGAGGTGTGGGCTACATCCTCCCCAAACCATCTCTCCCTTACTGTCACTTGCTCCATGAGAGGAGTGCCAGAAAAGAAGGAGGAAAGCTGAGTGACGGGTGATGCTGCTGCTGCTGAGAGCCAGTACCCTTGCAGAATGAGGGCCGAGGGGTCAGGTGGGCAGAGAGGGGCAGAGGTCCCCACCTCCTCTCTGCACTGGACTATATCCTCTCACACGGGAGGCTTCTGGGGGAGAGTGGACAGGATTAAATAGAGAGGTTGGTGAAAGTCCCCAGAGAAGTGGGCCTTTGACAAAGACTTGAAGGAGGTGAGGGAGGGAGCCATGTAGATATCTGAGTAATTCCAGAGGAAACAGCCAGCGCAAAGGTCCTGAGGTGGGAGTGTGTCCAATTTGCTCAAGGTCTACTAAGGAGGTAAGAGTGTGGTTAGAATGGTGTGAGTGAGAGGAAGAGGGGTAGGAGGTGAGGTAAGAGAGGGGACTAGGGGGGCCGTTAAACCATGCAGGACCTTGTAGCCCATGGTAAGGACTTTGGCTTTTACTCTGAGTGACTAGGAGGCCATGGGAGGGTTGTGAGTAGAGGAGAGATGTGAACTGTCTTAGGACTTAACAGGATCCCTCTGATTGCTGAGTGTAGAATGGACTTTAGGAGTGAGGATGGAAGCAGAGGGATCAGTGAGAGGGAGGCTACTGCAATGGTCCAGGTGACTGATGATGGTGCTGGCAGTGGAGGGGGTGGGGAGAGGGTATATTCGGGAAATATATCGAATGGAGAGCTGACAGGATTTGTTGAAGGATGAGAGTCTTGGGGCCAGACCAGGACACAGACAACACCCTAACTCTGTGGGCAGGAAGGAGTCCCTGGACTACTTAACAGCTTGAACTTTTAGGTGAGGAAAAAAAGTTCTATCTTGTTTAAGCCCATATTATTTTGTGGGGTCTTCCCTGTTATTTGCAACTAAACATACTGATTGGTTCCTGGCCCATAACCCCATCCTGGACACTGAGACCTGAGGAGGGGAGCCCGCCGGTGGAACTGCCTCCCTCCTAGGGATGCTGTGAGTCAGAACCTTGCATACAGTAGGTGTTCAGAAAATCCTCCCAGGATGAAGGGGGAATGTATGAATGGCCATGTTCAGTGGACGCAAGCTACAATTCTGTTCCCACGGAAGGCGGGATCTCAAAGGAAGAGTGAAAGGGGAATGAAAGGAGTCCACTAGATGAGGAAGAAGGAGCAGCACTCCTGGGAGAGGGAACAGTAGGGGCAGAGACCGGGGACAGAAAGAAGGGAGGTGAGGCCACTGTGGGGTGTGGAGCTTGAGTCCCGCAAGAAAGACAGGGCTTTGATTTGTGATTACGTTAGTCAATATCTGCCAACATGCCCGACCAACTCCTGGCTGCATAGTCACGCTCAGTGTTTTCTGAGCTGGAGTTAGAAAAAGCTAATCTTCCCCGAAAGCTCAATCTTTCATTTGGCCATTCATTCAACAATGGTGCCAAGTCCTGGAGAACACTGAGGGTGATAATCAGGGACATTCTTGGCTGGTGGCACCGCTCAAGCAAAGGCTCGGAGCTGGGTTGGGCAGACCCACTGCGACAGAAGAGTCCGTTTTGCTTTCTCAGATCTCACACTAGGATGCAGTCTAGGTCTTCAGGGGCTCTGGGCATTCATAGCCCTGGGGCAATAGGGAGTCACGGAGGGTTAAGGAGAAGGTAAATCCATCCACGAGAGGAATACTCTTTCTAAGGACTGCCTGCACTCTACGGTTCAGAGGCCCGACCACTCTCCAGCTCAGACGGCCTACAAACCTTCCTCTCCTCTAGCCTCCTTATTGGCTGTTCATCCCCTCCTTCACACCAGCTACAACATCCCCGTTGGCTCTGCTCTTTCCCGTCCCACCTCCGGGTCTTTCTGTCCCGATACACTTTCTAGCTTCAGCATTGGTTCATCCCGTTCTTGCACTGCCCCTTGAGGTCTCAACCACCTTCACTCTGACTCCCCCATTGGCTATCTGCTACCTGTCTTCCTCGCTCTCGCCTTCATCACCCACCCCATTGGCTCTTCCCCTCAAGTCCCGCCTCCGAGGCCGCTCACATACCGCCTCTTAGTCCCCTTTTAGTCTCCGTATTGGCTAGTTCCGCCCTGGCACCGCCCCTTGAAGGCGTAGTGCACACTCACAAGACTCCCCATTGGCTCGCTGCAGCCATTATCGTCATCCCTCCTCTACGTCGCCGCTGCGCAGCTCCCCATTGGCTGTTCGCTGTCTCTACCTTCCGTCCCACTACCTACGCAACCCATGGATCTCCTACGGTTCCGGCCTCTCCGTTCGCTCCCTGCTGCCCCCATCGCCTGTAGCCATTCCGTTTTCTCCGCCGCTCCCATGCCGCTCCCGCTCACACTTCCCCATTAGCTGTCCTACTTCTGCTCTCTTCATCCCGAACCCCGCACCCCCCCATTCACGCGTCCCCATTGATCCCTGATTATCCCGCCTCCTACACCGCCCACTCTCGGGTATCCCCATTGGCTGCGTGCTTCCCCTGTACTCGCTTCACCGTCTACGTCACGCGTGCGCGGCTCCCCATTGGCTCTCCGCTATACCTGTCGTCTCGCCGCCTACGACCCCCCCCCC